CAGAGAGACGTACTAGCATTACGTTTTTAGACTAGCATCAGGAGTGCCACCAGACGTGGTGCGTGGCCCCGACCCGAGGGACACCAGCATAGGCAATCGCATCACGCTACAAGTTGACAACGCGCGCGGGGCAGACCATGTGGAGGAAAACAAAAGGGAAAGGGTGTGTGGCAGCCAATGAGGTACTAGTAGATTTTCTTTTCTTTCTTTCTTTCGTTTTGAGAGATAAAATGGGAGGTACTAGCAGTAGTAGGCTAGTAGCTATACTCACTACGTGAAAAACGGTTTACAGCAACAGGATAATATTTTTTTTTAGGAGCGGCCGGTGATGGAGCCGTCCCTACAATGGCGTGCTTAGGAGCCCAGAGACCAGCCACCCCTACAAATGGAACAGCAGGGGCGGCTGGCGATACGAGCCGCCCCTACAAATGGGTCTGATTTGTAGGGACGGCTCAATCACCAGGCACCTCTGGTGTTGCGATTTGTAAAGGCGGCTCAATCACGGCCGCCTTCTACAAATCTTGCCGCCTTGAACCCAAACACAGGCTTGGGCCTCACTTTTCTTTGGTAGGCCACTTTGAAACCCGCGCATGCCTCGTTAAGCTGTCAGCGATCTAAGCCCTCGATCTGAATCGAGCGGCCGAGGTTAAGTCAACCAGTGACAAAACTACCCCGAACATCCGAAACCCTAGGGTTTCATTCTCACTTATCCATCCGACGCCGCACTCTCTCTCACTCGCTCTCTATCTCTCTCACCCGACGGCGCTTAGATCCGTGGGCGCTACTACATCCGCGTCGAGCCCCGGCGTGGAGGCGCGCCTGCGCTCCTCCTCCTCGAGCTCTACGTGCGCGGCGGGTGCCCGCGCCCCGGGGATAGGGGAGGGAGGGACGGAGGCTCTTCTTTGTGGCAGGAGGCCCATGGCAAGCCGCGTCTTGACGGGCGCAGCCCCGCCTCCTACGCGTCGGCAAGCGGCGGGGTCGGCGATGCGGCGGCGGCTGGGCGCCCATGAGCCTCGCTCTCTTCATGGCTGCCTTTGGGGTGCCGGTCGAGTTCCCTGCGTAGGAGCTCTGCGACCTTGTAGACGATGTCGACGTCTCCGTCTGCGTGGAGGTGCTCAAGGCCTCCAAGCTCTTTGTCAGGAAGATGTGGGGTGAGAAAAATAAAATCTACTTCCCTCTTCTTCCCCTGAACCCTGATGACATTCAAACGTTTCAGATTTTCCATGTTCCAATTCAGATTTCAGATCCTTTCAGTGCGCCTGTCATCCGGCGACGGATCTAGGGTGGTGGTGTCCCCCGTCGGTGGATCGAGGGCGGGTGTGCTCCTCGACGGCAGATCTAGGGAGAGCCCATCCTCCAAGCGGCAGATCTTGGGTGGTAAGCCTGTACCACTACTCCACTATCAACCTGTGTTTGTCAGTACTTAGCTGCCGTTCTGAGAGAGTCTGAGCAAAAGGTCACTCGTGTACTTTCGTTTAAATTTGCAACAATAACATATCGTTAGATCATTGTCTTCATTTCTCATTACTGGTGTTTGTTTTAGTTGCTGCTATCATATTCATTCTTCTGTGATGTCTCGTTCCAGAAGCACCTTTATAAGTCAAAAAATATGTACAGAATGGTAGTGAAGATAGTGTGTTGATTTTGCTGCTGATCTTGTGATGCAACCTTGTTAGAATAGTAAGTTTTTGCTATTTTCTAAAAAGTAATGATTGTTATTGACCTTAGAAGATACATTGAAATAGGTAAGCTGGCCTGGACACTTACTTTCAGCAAAAGAAATCTGTGCTAGCTATAGTGATTGAAACACTTACTGTTAGGCAACTTATTCTTGCTGGAAAGGAATTCTATATTGTTGTAGGCCATAAAGAACAAGTAACTAGTAACTTAATCTTGACACTACTGATACAGACCTTATGCTACTGCTTGACACTGTCCTTAAACCAATCCTTGGAAAATGCTCTTCGAACATTGCTGCAGGAGCTTGTGGTAACTTTCTATGTGGCTACACTGTCCTTTGATCTCACTTGATGATAAATTGGTTAGGGAGTGTTGTCGGCACGTGCATTTTTCTGGGTCATTGCATTTGTTCTGAGCAGTAGGGTTTTAATGATTATTTCTAAAAGAAAACGGAAGGTGTGGCTGCATTTTTATTTGCAATCCTAGAAAATTACATTGATTGCTGATTCTGTTTTATATGGAGAGTGTGTATTTCCATATTTCATTTGTGTATTCTTAGTCATCTGCAGTGCAATCGGGTTAAAAGATCATGCAATATGGGAATTCATTGGATAGCGGAGAAAGTAACTGCCTGATAACTCGCCTTCTTGGTCAGTTGCAGTTCTTCCAACATTCTTTGTTCAAATCCATACCTATCTGAGGACCTTATGGCATCACTTTCTCTTTTTTTCTTGAACACTATTTGGTGCCTGTGTAGCATTAGTTTCTGTTCTGAGAAAACAATGTTCTTCCATGATAGATATTGTGCTTTATCTTTGCGAAAGAGGGCATGTTGAGGGTGGTATGGTATTCCAGCTGTTAGAAGACCTAACTGAAATGTCAACAATCAAAGACTGCAAAGATATCTTTGGGTATATTGAGAGCCAACAAGATGCACTGGGGAAGGTAATTGTGATCCTTATTCTGTTTGGTTAGTTCTGGTTAAGTACAGAAGATGCATGTCTGTAACTTTGCTGATCGATTATCGTTTTGGGTTGTTTGTAGCAAGAACTTTTTGGACGTGGAAAACTAGTTATGCTAAGGACTTGCAACCAACTTCTTCGCAGACTATCGAAGGTTAGGTTCAGTTGTTTTGTGGTGTCTACTCTTTGAAGTTTAGATTTACTGTTGTTCCCACATCTGGTGCTGCTGTTTATGCAGGTGGTGACAATTAGGCTTACTGAGTCATTGTCTTGTACATTCTCAAGAATTGCTGCGGTGTGTCTTGTTCTCTCTTGTGTTACTTGCATCGAGCGAAGATTGATTTTCACAATACTTTTCATATACCTATGTGCAGTCTCATAGTTTAAATGAACAGCAAGCACAATAATTTGCACCGTGTATTGTCATGGAATATTTGTTATAATCTGGTATAAATAAATGTTCTGGTCGAATTTGAATTGTAAATTTAATTTTTTTTACGGAAAAATGATTTGTAGTGGTAATTTGGTGTTCCCAGACCGCCCCTATAAATCGATTTGTATTGACGGCTACAGTACCAACCGCCCCTACAAATCGATTTGTAGAGACCCTTGCGTAGGGACGGCTGACCGAACCGCCTTTACAAATGCTTATTAGCCGCCCCTAAAAACCATATCTGACATAGTGACTAGGGGATCTCGAGGGTTAGTAATCCAAGAAGCTTGTGCGCGGATTGAGGCCCACGGCGACCGGCCGGATAAGCGGATAGAAAAGCAGCCGAGTGTTCGAGCGTGGCGAGACGGCGTGGCATCTCCCATCTCCTTGGCGCTTGCGGGTTGCGGCGTGCGCGACTACTGCTCGCCTTCGCCCCGGCCATTGGCCATGCATGCATCGCTAGTCATATAGACACGGTGTCGGTCAGACGGTCACGTCTGTTGGGGTGTTTAGAGAAGGTACTGATAGCACTCAAAACTGGCTAAACTAGGCTGCCAAATCGACTAAACCGATCTTGGCAGGGTTGTTACAATGAAAATTACATTTTACCATTGTGTTTTTTTTCATCGAGACGATCGAAATACATATATGCAACATGTTTTACAGTAATACACTTATTCCTGTAGCGATCTGTGGAACCGACTCAGAGAGAATGGTTAGGCTTCACCACTATGTGAGTTAAGATGCACGGAAAAGAGATGGATACTAGTAGACCTCCATGTTTCAATAACTTTTTTTTTTAAAAATTCAGGAATAAACACCACGTGAAAAACGCTTTGTAGGGGCGGCTGCAGATCATTTGTAGAGGCGGCTCAGCCAGCCGCCCCTATCATATCGTCTCTACAAATCATGCATTTGTAGGGACGGTTCCCAAACCGCCCTTACAAATCGATTTGTAGGGGCGGCTGGTACTGTAGCCGTCTCTACAAATCGATTTGTAGGGGCGGTTGGTACTGTAGCCGCCCCTACAAATCGATTTAAAGGGGCGGCTACAGTACCAGCCGCCCCTATAGTACATTTTTCGACTAAAAAAAATTCAAATTTACAATTTAAATTCGACCAGATATGCAAATCGATTTGAGTCATTCACCATTACTTTGCTAATTAAGTAATCAGGCACAGATTTAAACATGAATAGTTGCAGTGTCCAAAAAATACTAGATAACAGAGATCCTAAATTTGATCAACAGATAAGCTTAAAATACAATGAGGACAAGCAAATTGAAATAAAGAAGCAACATGTCAATGTCTCCGAGTGAGGCAGGGAAAACTATCATCAGCTTCATCTAAGTACCCTCCGGAGAAAATGTTTTCAGTTTGCTTGTGGGAGTCATTATCACTACAGTTTTTGCTATCACCACCCCTCCCCTGTTCAGTAGCACAAATGCACACCTGGGTAAAGAAATGATAATCAACGTAAGAAAGTTAACTGGTAACAAACCCATGCCCACCCCAAAATATCTTCACTTAATTACCATTTTGGACAATACAAACCTCGGGCATTACTTGGTGAAAAATCTAATGATGGAATTTCCAGATTATAAATCTAAATATCCCTTTTGTATATTTGTGGCTAAGTTTCAAAAAAGTGAGTGCAATCATTTTTTGGGTCACAACAGAGGTAGTTTTTCACAAAAGCATGCTTTGCTCTGGTAATCATATAACAGGCATCAACAACAGAATAATTGGACCGTGTCACCACTGTTCTTGGTCAACTGTGTGAGTCATGCGGTAGTGATAGATTAAAGACAGTACTCCCTCACCTGTAAACAGTTTATAAGCATTTGGCAGATCATGCTTTTGGGTGGCATAAAAAATGTCATTCCCGGATGAGAGATATAGACCAGGATCAACGATGATTGGCCTTATTTGTCTTTCCCTGGATGCAGAGACAGACAGACAATGTAAATAACTTCCAGCCCTAAATTGAGAGAGAGACTAGAACCAAAAATGATAAAGTGCCCTTACTCCTTCCAACCAATATAGCTAGTATGCTGAATGAAGTTGAGATCCTTCGGTAGGTATGAAAAAACATGCAGGAGGTCTGCAAACAATTTGGAAATCAAGTTACCTTCATAAACTAATACCTTTCCACTAGCTGTCAACAATTTATGACATAAATGAGTAAAAGTAACAAACAGCTAGCGTAAACCCTGATAAGATTAAAGTAGCACGTTCCCATGGCTTCAAGCTCCATTCATAAATGCATGCTAGGTGCATAGGACTCAAGTAGGCAGTAATAGCATAAACCTTAGGAAAAAAAAATCTGCTGCCCAAGCTCAATGAAAACCAATCGAAAGCATTGGTTGACTAAGACTACAATATTCTTTGTGGGACAAATTCTGTCCCCCATTCTAATTGCATTATTTCCAAACTAAAAAAAGGGGCAGGAAATTTAAAAATAGTGGCCAGGAGTAAAGCTAGCTAATACAATCTTATTTACAAACTCTAGCGTGACACTTCCATTAATCGTTGGGAGTGTTAATTCAATTAAAATACTAACATGAGCATGCTTTTATAGATGAAGTGATTTTTTTTCCTTGGTGAATCGGCATAAGATGATACAACAAACTGATTATTTAGTTTCAACCTGTTCCTTTAGAGACCTACCAAAAAAAAACGAGTTATATTCCTTAAAGCCATCCTAGCCCCATTCTTTCAAACCTTTCTATATCCATTCTCATGCATTAGCATGATCTTCTGAAAGGGAACTATCATGTACGATAAATTGATTCACCTACTTGATAACACCAAATCCAGAGTTGCAGACAGATCTATCAATGTTAAACAAACTACGGAACATTTCATGCAAAAATTAACAATCTATTAAAACAAAATAGATATAGATAAATACTCTTTTGATCACCCAAATACCTAGATCTACATAAAAAATCTCAGGAACTCTACCGCATATATACACCAAAATGTAGCAGGATAGGTGTAGAGAGGAATCACCATCGGGTGCCACGAGCGGGTACTCATCGGCGTCGAGGTGCACGAACCAGTCCCAGCCCTGGTCGACCCTCAGTAGTAGCGCGGCGCCGTGCAGCGTGGCGGCGAGCGCGGAGGCCCCGCGCGGGTTGGCGAACCCGGGGTCCCCGACGACATGGACGTTGGCGCGGCCGGGGGCAGCACGCGCGCTGCGAGCGAGCCGTGCGCGGTCGTCCGTGGAGGCGGTGCGGTCGAGCAGGAGGAGGTAGACGTTGCGGGGGTGGTAGGTGGCGAGGAGAAGCCGCTGGAGGCGGTCTGCGTCGCCCGCGGATCCCATGAGGAGGAACGCGAGCGAGGGCGGCGCGGGGCCCGCGGAGGCTACGGAGGGGAGCGGCGCGAGGCGGGGCTATGGTGGTGGAGGCGGCGAGGGGGCGGGGGAGGAGGAGGAGGAGAGGAGGTGGAGGGTCAACAGCAGCAGCAGCATGGAGGTGAGGAGGAGGCACGGGAGTGGGCGGGAGTCCTTGGGGAAGACGCTGTGCGGCAGGGCAGAGGGCGGAAGGAGGCCGGCGGCGACAAGTGCGGGTGCCAAACCCTAGCCAGTGTGCACCCTCTGTTTTATACGCGTGCAAGTGCTAGCGCCTCTTGGGTGGGCAGAAAGGCCGGCGTGGCCCAGGCCCGCTCGTAAGTTTTCCGTCGCAGCATTTGTAGAGGCGGCTCAATCACCAGCCGCCCCTACAAATAGCAATACCAGGGGCGGCTGGTGAGTGAGCCGCCCCTACAAATCCTACCCATTTGTAGAGGCGGCTCGTATCACCAGCCGCCCCTGCCGTTCCATTTGTAGGGGCGGCTGGTCTCGTGGATCCCGAGCACGCCACTGTAGGGGCGGCTCCATCACCAGCCGCCCCTAAAAAAAATTGTTCCGTTGCTACAAACCGTTTTTCACGTAGTGAAAAAATGTCTCGGCCTCCCACATCCATGCATGAATAAGTAAAGCCGTTCAATACATATACAACACAAAAGTACTGAGACCAAGCTCCGTTAGACAGAGCTTTAAACAGAAACAAAATAATAAAAAAACGAGCCGATAGAACTAAACCAGGAAGCTTAGTTCTCTTTTCTTCTTTTGTATCTCTATATCCCAGCTTTCCAAAGACTTCAAACACCATGACTTCCAAACGACTACATCCTTCTTTTAAAGCCACTCTTTCTTTCTCTTTAGATATCTGGGGACTATTGTTTGATCCAGTATGCCCCCTCCCGCTAAAATTTACCTACAAGAAATAATTAGTATTTGTTTTGTTAAACACCACATCGTTTCTACTCAACCACAAAGCCCATCACATCGCTGCCATCCCCAACTATTACTTGATTTCTTAACCTTGGAGTAAAACTCTTTAACAAATAACCAAACAAGTGGACAATATCCTTGGGTGGTTGAAAATTAAAAATGATGAAAACAACACATTCCACGAGAAACTAGATATATGACAGTAAAAAAAACGGGTGTTGGACTGTTTCCCCTAATCCACAGAAGTTACACCTAGTGTCCCCTTTCCAATCCCTCTTTAGTAACTTATATTTTATTAGAACCACACCTCTCTTTAGATACCAAAGAAAACTATTTATCTTCAAAGGTAACGGTCTTCCAAAAACAATTTTTTCCCTAGAAATCTTTCTTTCTTCATAATATCTCTATACAAAGACTATGTTCAAAAGACACCATTTTTTTTCTTGACTGCCTAATAAAACCATCCTTATTATCATTTGAAGAAATGGGCAAAAACTAAGGATACAAGAATAAGCCAATCCTTCAACTTATCCCCATCTAACGCCCTTCCAAATGAAATGTTCTAAGGGTACGTACTTAGTACATTAGCCACAGTATATAACACCTTTTCTTCTCACAGTTATGTACAGAGATGGATACTTTAGTTTTAAAGGTTCCTTAACAATCCAAATATCTTTCCAAAACCTAGTTAGGTTTCCGCTATTAACCTTGGTTCTCCCTTTTTCTAGTAAAAGATTAACATCCATAAGTCTTGCCCAAAAGTGAGAATTACCTGACTGTTTTGCCACTTTGGGACAAACATTTGTTTTTTAAATATTTAAAAAAGACTTGGTGATCGGACGGTCGAGGAAGGATGGTGACACATGTCGAGATCGTGGAGGGAGTGTAGCGGATACACTTCTCGAGAGTGAAATGATCAAGATGCCCAAGAGGAGGGGGTGAATTGGGCTAATTCTAAATTTTCTTGCAATAATCTAATCCTACGGATAGCCCAATTAACCCCTTGTGCCTAGAAAAGTGTTTCTATCAAATTAACGCACAAAAGACTTACAACCTATGTTCCAAACATACTCTAGCATAGCAATTCTATGAATGTAAAGACAAGTATTGAATTGCTCAAAGTAAATACTTAAAGTAAATGCTCAAGGTAAATGGAGAGAGAAACGCGGCGATGTTTTGCCGAGGTATCGGAGAGTCGCCACTCCCCACTAGTCCTCGTTGGAGCACCCGCGCAAGGGTGTAGCTCCCCCTTGATCCGCGCAAGGATCAAGTGCTCTCTACGGGTTGATTCTTCGACACTCCGTCGCGGCGAATCACCCAAAGCCGCTCACAACTTGAGTCGGGTCACCCACAGTCTCCACCGGGTGATCACCAAGCTCCCAATCACCACCAAGCCGTCTAGGTGATGGCGATCACCAAGAGTAACAAGCACGAACTCTCACTTGACCACGCGAAGCCTAATGAGAAGATGGATGCACACTTGACTACTCTTGATTCACTAATGAGGCTACTCTCTTGGATTCTCAAATCTCAATCACCTCACTAGGACCTTGCTCTTCTTGGCACTCACAAACGTGTTTTTCAGCTGTTGGAATGAGCAAAAGCCACTCCACACACGAGTGGAGCTTCTATTTATAAGGCAGCCTGAAAAACGAACCGTTATGAGCTTCTGCGGAGTGACCGGACGCTCCGGTCGTGTTGACCGGATGCTCCGGTCAGTTCAACCTACGAACCAGTAAAAATGTATTGACCGGACACTAGCAGGGTCCGGTCAGCACTGACCGGACGCGTCCGGTCGCATAAAACCCTTACTGGAACCTTACTGGACTCGACCAGACGCTGAACCCTCAGGGTCCGGTCAGTACTGACCGGACGCGTCCGGTCGCAGATTCCCTTCACTGGAATCTTACTGGAGTCGACCGGACGCTGCCTTTCAGCGTCCGGTCACTTGACCTCTCCAGCGTCCGGTCACACCGAACGCAGACGTTGATCAAATGAACTGACCGGACCCTGCGGCCAGTGTCCGGTGACACCGGGGCCAGCGTCCGGTCAGTGTTTGACCCTCCATTCACTTCCAACTTCCGAACATAAGTGAATGAAGTTTGCTCCAAAGGATCTTAGGCATTCATAGGAGCTACCTAGAGCTAGTTTTGACAAGTGTGCACCACACCTAACTCACTAGACTCAACTAGGTCAAGCTACCCATCCATACCCCCCTTAATAGTACGGCCAAAGGAAAAACAAAGTCCTAAACTACTCTAAGTGTCTCTCAAACTCCAATCGACACTTAGAACTAGTCATCCTTAACCTTGTCGTCCATCCTTTAAAAACCGAAACGATTTCCATTGAGGGGGCATGACAACTTTGATTGCCCAATCGATCATCGTTACCATGACCTAACTTAATTGCCTCTGCAAAACACACGTTAGTCATAGTAATCTTGTATTGTCATTAATCACCGAAACCCAACTAGGGGCCTCGATGCTTTCAATCTCCCCCTTTTTGGTGATTGATGACAATACCACCTCGAGTATGTGAAAGAGTGAGGTTTTTGACGGGCTTGGTTCATATAAGCTTTTGTCGATAAGAACAAAAGTGTTAGTCAAGCTTACATGACCCAAGCCAACATAATGTACTCAAAGGATGTGAATTAAGCATGAGTACGATTAACAAAGCTCATTTGCATCGGAGTATAACCGCGGAAGCAAGGGCAAATGAACAATAACACAAGTGATATGACATATAAATAATGTAAAATAGAGAGCACACATGTCATATATCACAATCACATAGATAACACTATCACATAGATAGAATAATATGCGTGAAAGTAAACACACGAATGCAAAAGTAATAGTGTACCACACAAATAAAACTCCAAATGTATATAATAAGCTAATACTATATAACTAGCTCCCCCTAAATGTTGCTCCCCCTGAGTCTACATACTCGAACCCTCTCCCCCTTTGGCGTCAAACACCAAAACCTAGGGGTTGGACGGTGGGGCTGCAATGATGACGAAGGGTATTTGAGGTGCGAGGAGCAAGCTAGAAGCGAGTGCCATCATCATCGACCACTGAGCTCTGGTTGGCCCGACCCTCTGTGGCGGGGAAGTGTCTTTCTTGCGGTCAGGTGCAGTGGGAACAGTCTTTGCTGTGAAGCTGCTTTGGTACATCTATAGGATCGATGATCTTGCGATCGAGCTAGGAAGCCTCTAAGTAGTCACTGCTTGTTGAAGGCTCTTGCTGTTGAAGGACCGGCGGCATGCATATGCGGTGGTGTGGGCATGCCAGTCAGCTCGCTGAAAGATGCTCTAAGACTCACGGAGGCCCGGCGTGTCGAGGCACAAATAGCGAGGTGACTCCTCCGGTGTGAAGCCCGTCTGAAGTGGAGTGAACTACAGGGGCTACCACGGGTGAGGCTAACCTTTGGGACACACTGTACAAGAGGTGAAGCAAACCGAGTGGAGGCTGTCCACGACTCTAGAGCCTTTGGGCTATCTTCTTTGGAGTCATCAAAGTGGTAGCAATTTGAGCAAGCTAGAGGCGAAGAGGCTATGGTTGTGGGGCCCCAAGTGTTGTCACAACATCTTTGCATGAAGCCCATAATTGCTTCTTTGCAATAGGATCTCTTCTTTGGTGCATCTGCTGCTTCGCTTTGAGTACCTACCTGCTTGCCTCTCAAAACTCATCTGACGAGTCAGGCTGTGTAAAAGTTGGCACATGTGTCTCTGTGCCTAGCGATCCTGGTCTGCTTTGCATCCGCTCAAGTATGGCAATAAGAGCGGGTCCCGTCTCGAGTGCTTGGTGGTCTTGAGGTAGAATTGTCGGCCTCTGCATCGTGTCTGCGTGGAGGCATCTAAGGAATAGGCTGGTAGTCGTCGTCAGAGCTGTCACTGTACTCGCTCACCTCCTGCTGTGCCTCAAGTTGCTCCTCCTCGAGAGCAGCTATGCCTCACGATAATCTAAATCTATTTGAGCTCTGACGACTGGAACATCTGGACGGCTGACTGGGGTGAGTAGGTGCCTGTGGTGTCTTGTGCACGATCC